CCGTGTGGGGTGTTATAATGTGACGGTCAATCCCACTATTCGTTGATAAAAGAGTGGCCTAAGAGTTGGCGGTGGGTGGTGTTGACTAGCTGCCTTCCCTCTAGTCTTACACTGCTAAATTGGGGACGGCTAGCGCAGATAGCTCTCGTGTAGTTTTGCGCGAAATTCAAAAAGAAACAAACAAAGCATGCCATTAAACATCGCATGGTATCTCTGCAAAAGTAATTCTGAAACAATTTATAAACTGTGAAAGTAGAATCAATCTGTATAGGAACTTGTCTCTCCGGTTCAGAACTGTATATTCGAGCTAAACAGCTGGATAATCTACAGAAGTATTATGTAGCAAAAAAACAACAACAACAAAGATGGAACAGAAGTTTCAGTTTCATTAACCAGTTGTTAGGTTAGTTGAGAACTGTTGTAGTTGCATTGAAGTTGTTATATTTCATTAAACATGAACCAATCAGAATATTTTAGTTGTGCTAAAGATATATAATCTCCATTAAAAAATACTCAAGCTGCGTTTTTGTCAAAACCTTTTGAAACAAAGCAAACTCGTAGCTGTTCGTACCACTGTATATGATAAACACTTTGGACTAATATTCTAATTTAAATCGCATTATAAATCCAAAACTAGAATTTATTTATTTTTCTACGTGACTTTAGGTCAAAGACACTTGGAGAACTTTAAACCGGGTAAGATACTATGGCGAAGCTACATATGGGAACAGCATGTTTCCACACATCGGATAGATATGATTTCACCTATAATTAGTAGTGTTTCTCAAGGTTCACAGTGTACAATACGTGATTCACAGTGACGAGGAGACAAAAAAGAAAACATTTCATAGCATAACTGTCTCGGTTATTCATAGAAACTTCCTCTCTCCTTACTCTTAAAAAAATAAACCCGACCTAGGCCGTTTGTAAATTGGCTGTTTTCCGAGGTTAAATATCTGCTCCCTTTATTCCTTCTATTTTTACCTCCAGCATATTCTTTCACATATTTTCATGGAAATTAAATATTTTAGTTTTATGTGTTGAAAGATGTTGTTTTTGAAAAGGCTAATTAAACAAAAGCAATGATTTTGGGGCAAAAAAAAAACAACTAAATACGCTCATCTTTCATTGTATCAAAATATATGTTGTTAAGGTTTAACACATTTGACGTATACCGTTTTTTAAACATAATTATTTTTCTGATAGTTGAAAGCGAACGCAAAACAAACACATGGGTTTGGAATTGGTGTCCAATGATTTTTTTAAGAAGGAAATATAGATATTGTAGGTAAGTACAATATTGAAATTTATTGACAGTAGCGTCAGTCGCCCGACGAGATGGTTTTGGCGCCAGATCATAAAGAGGGAAAACTACTATTTTATGTTATGCTTAGTATCATTACTAACACGCTCATCGTTTGGCAGTTGAATAATTTCTGAATTTCCCGCAGACATATTTTTCTTGATTAAAAAGAAAATACCGATGGAAGAAAGCGCTGTGAATAGAAAAAAAAAAAGATTAAGTTAATTTTATTTGGAAAGAAGAAACGTTGCATGAGTTTTAAAGTCTTCATTAGTTATTTCTAAAACACAGTATTTCTTTGTTCATTATGGTAGCAATTTACAGAAATATACAACTTTTGAATTCTAACGTGTATCATTTTACGTCGGACACATTTATAAGCGTCTTTAATATGTCAATGTGACATATTCATATAGCAGAAACCCGCAAAATGTTTGCAGTCAAGTTATGTTTATTGCAACAGTATTTCTTCATATACAAGATTTCTAGAATACTAAAAAATATTTCTAATAGCAGACACTAAAGTTTACAAGTCCATTTGTGTTAGGCCTAACATTAGTTAAGCCTTTATTAAGTACGGCCTAGAATCGTTGAAGAAATAAATCAAAACTGTAACTTCGGTGTATGTCTTTTGCTTTAGTTTAGTTAGGGGTAAACTTTACCGCACTTAATACTATCAACAAATAAACTTACAATGTTATTCTACGACCTAACGATAGCCCTTTTTAAAACTTTGATAAGCTTTTAATATGCCTACTAAAGTATATTTACATCCATGGAAATAAAGTGCACGCGCATTTTCAAGACAGATGTAAACTGAGTATTTTATTACACGGGGCACTAAAAGTTAAGTTATTGTTAGCGTTATTGGTAAAAATATATAATTGCAAGCAGGGCCGGATTAAGGTTTAGTGGGGCGCTAGGCCCAGGTAATATTTGAGAGTAATAATAACAACTCACTCTTGCCTCTATTCTGCTAGTTTTACGAACCATAATTTTTCTACTTGGGTGGCCTATGCGTTAATCTTGTGCTGATTGCAATATTTTGTTTCTGTCTTAAAAAATATCAAATGTTATTGTGCACGAACTAGATTATATATAAACGTAGGTTATCTATATGTAAAATTATTTTAAGTACAGCAGATTTTAAACTGGTTTTAATTTACGTGTGGACGTTTCGCACTGCCACTGTTCGTTTATTTGCGTGAATTCATTAGAATGCATACAGAATTAATATTGTCACGCGCTAAATATTAATTTTATTTGACTGCTCCTGGAAACTGATTACTTCTGAAATTTAACCTGCAAGATCATAATGCATAAGGCATGATTCCATATCTCTGTTCAGTGATATTCAACGCACTCTGTGGGGTCGTTGTGACCGCGTAAACATAAATATACACGATTAAAAAGGTAGACATCTGTTAATAATTAACTAGTTTTGTTGTAGGAATAATGCTAGTTAAGTTGTTTTTTTTTTAGTCCAAAGTCATTCTGCTACCAAAATCTGTGTTTTGTGGTAAAGGCATTTTGTAAAAAATAGTTTTATGTCGTATGTAATCTAACCCGCCTACTTGTCTAATTCAGCCTTCTCGACAATAAGGAATTCTGGGGTCATCAGTCGCTTTAGAAATAATAATACAGTAGAACAAAATAATATTAAATAAACATTCCAAACTACGCGTAATAGGTATAATTAACACGCATGCCAGTTTTGTGGTTGAATTTCGATAGATTGGAAACGTTGATACTCCAGTATAGATCTGTATATGCAAGGAATTAGAACGTTTCGTTTACCGGCCATACAGGACTGTCTAGCGAAATATACTTAAAACATTGTTAAACACGTTTATAAAAACGATGCATTTAAAAACATTTTTATACTTTTGGTATATGTTCGAAATACACTGAAAACGCTTGAAGTATTTAGTTATTATGTAGTGGTGATGTTTTATGCCACCAGTGGTTTTGCTATCCCTTGTTGTCTGGTGCATAAAGGTTTAATTTAACTTTAGTTTTCATTTATTTAGTTGGTTTTGGTTATTTTAATAAACACCACTCCCCCCATCCTGGTGGCTCAGCGGTAAGTCTGAGAGCTTTTAACATAAATATTCAGGTTTCTATATCCGTGATGATGTGTGGAGTCTAGATAGCTCATTGTGTGGCTTCTTGCTTAACTATAAATAAACATACAATCGCATGTTGTGGCGAGGACGTTATTAGAACAAAAATACCTAGGATTAGCGATATGTTCTCGTAATAACTTAATATTAGAAAACAATGTAAACTAAAATACTTGTTCGATAAGCGTGGGATCATCGTTTCTTTATGATAACCCAGGTTTGAGGTATAATATTTCGGACAGTCAAGTAATTTTATGCCTCAGTATTAAAATATAATACCAGATTTATGAGGGTTTGCCACAGTAAAGGGTAACTAACTTCAGTTAAGTTTCAAGTTTATACTAGCCATGGTTTATGTGGCACCGTCGTTGTATTTGAAAGAACTAGTCGCCAGTTCAACCAGAATCTCGTACTTAATCTGATATAACAACTTAAAATTTGTTATAAATATCATGCTTTTTTGGCATCATGCCAAAAGGTGGTTACTGCTATGTTCACACGTGACAGCACTCACGACCATTTCTAAAGAAATCAAATGTTAATTGTGGTCTTTGGACTGACAGACGAAAGTTGAAACCGAAAACATCTGCACGCTCTTTTACACATTTATCTACTATTAAACTTGATCTCTTTTAACTGTATAAAATATTCATATAAACACGACAGAATAATGAAAGTATTAGGTTATATTATTTTATGCGACTTATTCTGTAACTAGTTTTATTATACATAGAATACGGTAAGATTAACAGTTAGTCTATTATCTGTCGAGCTAGAGATTAGTGACTTTTTTTTACCTTCGAGTCATAACATAAGCACTTTTTAAGTTGCCTTGAACTGTAACTTTTCTCAGAAGTTCTGGGAATCCAGAGGAATATATAACACAATCATCTTACGCCAAGTTAGTCAAATGCTGTTATGTTTAATGCTAGGTACAAAAGGAACGACGAAATATTCCATCGACCGGGTATTTAACTCGGGTCAAATATATATATATATATATATATATTTGTAAGTAACTGAGGAGG